GATAACGGTCACATTAATTCAACGGCTGGCTTGCCGGTTTACTGGCTGAATCGAGGCAATTTCCGGCTATAATTTATTCCAGATACTTGGACCATGTGTGATGCACAGTCAACTTTGGGGATCCCACAAATCGACTGGAATGTTGTGAGTAGAAGCTGCCATGAAACAGCGCATACACTCCTTGTGAAGCGGCGGGTGTTGGCGGGCGTTTTTTCACGACAGCTGATCTAAACAGAACTTCTGGGTTAGTGGGGTTGAACGCCTCTGTCGAGGCTTCCGGAGATTCTAGGCGCGATCCTATGGGCGGTAGTGTCGCATGCTGAAGTCACCCCGAAATCCCCGAAAACATGACCGTAGTTGAAAATCTCGGAGTGGTTGGAAAACATCTGCTCATCCTCTCTATCAGATAACTCACCCATTGTGGCACGCCTCATATGAATCGCACAAACAGTAGGAGAGATTAACGGGCCAAAGATTTGCATAACTCTGCATCCATTCTTCAAAGAACAACGGGCCCCGAACTTCGTGGTAATATAAAGTAACCTGGATCACGAGAGACGATAACCTGAACTGACATAACTGGGAGAATGCCCACTTGGCGTCAGTTTTTCTCGTGAGGTATGTGGATGGACGCGGCTCTTCCATAGCACGTCATCGAATTCCAAACGTACTTCATCCGATGTGCGAGGAACCGTTGTGTTGGTATTCCCCTTTTCCGGTGTTTTGAAAGTCTCCTTGGTTTTGCTATCTCCTGGTAAAAGTACCACTCCCTCATGTCCCGTCCTCGTTTTACCCAACCGTATGCATACCTCAGTGGGTGGCTTCGAGGGTACCGGTGCACTAAAAACAGTAGCATCAGGTATTTTGATCTCAGTTTGTTTGGGCAGTCTCCTCGGCCCATCAACGCAGCAGGTAGGTATCAGCTGTACGTCCTCTGTGACTGCAAAATCTGTCGTAAATCTTGGTGATGGTATGAAGCATTATTAAAAATTGTGGTCTTGCGAAGTCACGATATGGCGGGATACGTATGTCTGGGTGGTGGCAAATGAAATTCCGTTCCAAAAATCATTCCGAGTAGTCACTTAGTAAACACTCAAATCACTTGCTTCCATAATATCTGGTAGCGCGCAGTCATTTCTTGTAGAACAAAAATCTCCAAGTCCTGGTTGAACGGGACCGAATATTTCGACGGACTAATCGGGAGTCATTGCCAAATTTGCTCCTCCGCATTTATGCCTAGCCAGTGAATGTTTAGTTATTAACCTGGTGGATACGAGCTCAAAGCTATCTATAGTTTTGTTAAATGGGCACTGCTAATGGCTCCCAATAGGGATGAAAAAGTTGTGCCTCCTTGCTTGCACTTCAACCTTAAGCGGTACCACTGGCTTAGAATAATATCCGTTGAAAATTGACGAATTTCGCGACCGAGGCATCACAGTAAGGAAACTCAATTCGCTTGACAAGCGAGTCTTTAATCCAGGAAGTTTATTCTCGAGGAATCAGTCAACACTCGACCATGCCATTTCGTTTCTTTGATTGAAGCATAAATAGCTCTAAATCCCGTGAAAGAGAAATATAATCACACTTTTGACCAGCAGCACATGTCTGTTCATTGCAGCGTTGAACGATTACCCCCAGAGTCGCAAGCCAGAAACTATCAAGTGTGTAGTAAAATGCGCGTTGACAAGGCCTCACAACAATAAGTGGTATATTTTCCACCTTATGGAAAGCTCGTAGGAAGTGAAAAATGCCCCTTAGTTTTCAATATTGCCGAGTTTCGGGGTAAAATCCGATCAAAATTCGTTAGTTCTTCCCTTCTAATCTTGACGTGCTTGTGTATTGCTTTTTCATTTCATCATGCGTCTGGATGTCTCACACGCGCTAAAACTTTACCGAGTAGAGAGGAAAAATTCAGTTTTTGGGCTTTGCTTAGGTGCATAGTGTTATTGTTCGAAAAGAACTTCTGGTCATCGGTGCCCTCCTCTTTCAAACCAACTGGGCTTCCCAGTTCCAACCATACCTTCTGAAGTTCCGCAACGGAGTCTTTTGAAGGTCTTCCTTGGGTGCTTGATTAGTTCCCCTGATCATCCATCCTCCCATCCGTTCACAAACATCTTACGGCCGATTTGCTGCGGCGACCCGCAAATATTGAACCGACGGTCATTAAGGTCTGTTCAGTATAAACACAGGGAGATTTATTTCTGTCCACAAAGGAGAAGAGGTATTAGAGTTTCCTTTTTTGAAGTCTGTGTACTGGAGCTCCTCAACAAAGCCAACCTGAGCCCGTTCATTATATAAGAGTTTCCAAGTTTGTGGGTGTTTAGACTTCTACAAAGCTCTATTTCTATCTCTCATTTTCATTCTACAATTGCAATAAAAATGGTTAATATGTCCGCTGTTCCCTCCTATCAGTCGGTTCCCATCAGCTTTAATTTCAGTTACACAAATTTTATCTCATATCCTTTAGGTGAACTTAGTTTGGTGCAGATTTCGTAGCCAAAGAATGATGTGACTGTTGGGGAGTGCTCAAAAGGGAGCTACAAGAACTTCCAGCTACACTGAATTGTTCTCTGGTCTACATATTTTATCCTCACCAGCTGTTCGCTGTTCTTTACCCTTTAGTCTGTGACCGCCTTATCCAAATACACCAAAGTTAATAAATTTCGATCTTTTGCGCCCAAATACTGTGTGCTTGTGTACAGTCAGCAATGGATGGAAAACCGTTCGCAGCAGATGGGAATTCTACTTTATGAATCAAATTTTCGTTCACTCCAAATCCATTCACTCCAAATTTGTTCATCCGTTTGAAGAGACCTCTCTCCCTGGACTACTACTCCGAAACTAATGACACCAACATTTACCTGTAAGCGGATTCCTGTTCACATTAAGTTACAAGGGTAGAGAGCAGTATTGGCCGCTGCCAATGCTTTCACACTCGCCAGTCAGTACTTGAATATTCCCACGTCACAATAATCCAACCTCGATGTAATTGTAACCGATTTGTTAGCTTATTGGCCATAGCTGATTCTAATAATCTAGTTTGAATCTATGAGAGACCTTATTTTTGTATTTTTTCTGATAGACTCAATAACCTAGCATCACAGAGGTGATCAGCAGCTCTCCTTATTAGTTGTTTAGTAGGCAGATGTTGAACAGCTTTCTTCATTTCCGACTATGTGCTCCAAAAGTGCCCGCAAAACCGACAAGCAAAGTAGAGGTTTGAGGAAATCTCGGTTTTCTGCTCACGACTGTCCGCATATATTCAATAAAACTAATCCCGGAGCAACCAAATTAGTCCCATGTCTGTTCCGATAGTTAGTGCATCCAGGTGTTCGCTTAGCTCCGCCTCGAATATGAGTCAATTGGAAGTGATGCGCCGCACATAAAGGGAGTTGGAAGACAAAAATAGGGCAGCCCGTATTCATGTCGTTCGGAGAACAGTCTACGCTTTGGGGTTTTCAAAGTATCGGGCTACAAAACGGAACATTTTCTGACAAGCCATCAAAAGATGGATATTATTCCAGAACTTTTTTAAAGTATGGCTAAGGCTCTCTCACACTTCAGCCATTCCGCTTCTTGGCTGCCACCTCACACATCATATACAAGGCCATGCGCCAACTGCAACTAGATTTCTTTGCCATGATAAGCTGTATCCCTTCAAAATTACGTCTTTCTTCACCCTCATCCAGTCTCATCTCGACTTCTATACGAATGCTTATTCTTTAATTCAACCCATTTCTGGCCTTTTTAGCTACTTTGTCCTCTAGGTACCAAAACCACTCGCATTTCCTCAAAATAGGAACCACCGAGTAATCGTAACCGCAATTTAGTGCTAACTGATGTTATCCTCCCGGACTTAATGTGTACTAACCCTAGAACACACTCACCGTTTCCTGCAGAACAGGCCACGAACCAAGCCGTTCAGTTGCTGATCAAGCAAACAGCAGTCAAGTCCGTCGCGTTCACATCAAAAAGGTTCCATTTTTCACTTGTTCACGATCCCACATGTCACTGACTGACGCCACAACACTGCAATGCCCCGTTACTCCTGACATCTCAGCATCCGTTTCGTTGCCCACAGTGTGCAGTCTGCAGTGTCACCGTAGACCGGTTTTGCTGCGCCTTCAACGAGATGAGAAACCGATTACTTGTAGAATATGTGGAGCGACCCAGGAATCCCAACTGAGTGACGCTCCAAATCACAACCCAGATGTGAGGCAGTGAGATTTATCAATAAAATACGGTGCTGCATGTACAAAATACGACCAGAAAAGGGACGTGAACCCCAAATTATAAAGATTTCCACCTAATTGTTGTACGGGTTGGTGCAAATGCAAGGGTAGCCCGGGAAGAACGACAAACCGGTGTGACCTACCGACAGACCTGCGAGCTAGCGGTGACGCACGTGGTCAAAAAGTAAGCATGAGAAGTTCATCAAAAGTGGTTCGACATGTTAGGCGTTGAAAGTCCGTGAGAGATCCATGGCAAATATCAAACAGGTGAGCAGACACAGAAAACAGTTGTTTGAGAAAGGGGAGGGTTTGACAATGGAAAATGAGGTACACTTCCTCACCAAATACTGAATGGATTTTCCTTATCTACCTCCTCCGCGCTGGACGCCAGGAACAATGAAAAACAAAAAATGGTACTATTCGACTCTGGCCACAGTCGCCTCTCGCAGTCCTTCATGTCTTCTACAGTGAATGAGAGCCTATGGTAAACCCACCGCTCATAGCATGCATGCATTCCGTATATCTGTGGCAACTGATTCATCTGAGCTCTTGCGCTCTACGTTCTGACGCACACGTCCGATCTAGGTGCGGCGGCTTATGCAACCACCTTTGACCAGATACCGCGCATTAACTCTGAGTGTATTAGAATCGAACGTTGATCACAGGCTAAACTCCATGTCGGACCTCGTGCCGTAATTCATACTGGCATCCACCACAGATGTTTAACCCTCCGTTACATCTATAGCTAGCGTCACTCCAACCTGGGTCCTATTCTGATGAGCGGAGGATCTGGAACATGGAAGAATTATGATATGTACTCTTTACCGGCTCATCGTTACTGTGAATCAAGCACGAAGGGTGTAAAATGAAGAAGGCAGCAACTTCTGAGCGATCAGTTGTTACCAGACGCTCATTATTTTCGGTAAACTCGGAAGCGTAATTATCCACAGAGCGATAATATCTGATCTCCTTGAAGTGGTTCTGTTCAGTGTATCAAGTGAAATCTATTCTACTATATCCCCTGAAAGCTCGGAATTCAGTGTTACCCAAGGTTGGAAGGTCAAAGTGTGGATTGGCTCCGTCTATGCCTCGAGACCATGGACCGACGGTAGCCAAGGGGTCAATTTTGGCACCACGCGCAACCATAAAATATGTTCCACCTGAATGAAGCTTCATAAATGCCGCTGAGGTCGTCTGCCACGTGATGGACACTTTATATACTTCGGCCACTTGCGAACATGTCACCTGCATTGCCCTGGCGGTGTAAGGTTAATCAGAATTCTGCGGAGGACAAGGATCAAAGAGTCAGTTTTACTAGGAGAAACGTGATAATCAGTTGAAATTCCCAGCTTAAACGAGCTATGCATTAGGAAGAAGTCGCATCACGTTGAGTCGCATATTTAAAAAACGATAGCAACGTCCAAACAAGGAGAATTGTGTTGCGACTTACGAAATCTTTGGGTTGCGACACTAAATACGGTTTTCGGTATATCAACCTCATATTTTCCAAAGAGCGCCTGTCCGTTGCCAAACGACCAGTGTTCCCTGTGTGGTGCCAGGGCATCCTAAATGAGATTCTTCGACTGGATTTCCCCATTTTGGGTGTCCCTCGTTTACCAACATGGCAATCGTCGCACCGATCGAACCGAGGGCCATATTTTTCCTCTCGAGGGTTGCCGTAGGACCGTTTCAAGGCCACAGACACGTTATATGGTCGGCGACTCGCTGATGGCAGGTGGTTCAGTTTGGGCCACACACCACCTCTAGCCGTAGAGCCCATATGGCCACCACGACAAGTGGTACGCACTAATCCATGTGCCACGCCATTTCTGTTGTCCCCTGCGAGTTCAGCCAGTGTAGTGGTAGTTTTACCACGACTGAAACGTGATAGACCAAAGCTGATGCAACCGAATGGATTTAACGGCGTTCTTTCATTGTCCCAACACTCTTCTCTCTCACTTAAAGTGGATTTGGTACACCGGTGATAATCAGAATTAACAGCATTTTGGACGTGATTCAAGAAAGTCTGATGCTCGTGAATGGGCCCGGAAGGTCGTGAGATGGTGGGGTTGATCCCATCATCCGTTTATGTCTTCGGATAAGCCACAGCTGCTGTAAGCGATTGCAAGCAGTTTTTACGAACAAGCGTTTCCCTGTTCACTGTTTGATGGTGGCACTCTCCCGCGCTGGTTCATCTTCCAATGAGTAGTTTTGGTAACGTAAATTGGCTAGTGCCTTTCGTTTTGATTCAAACATTCATATTAATTAATAGTTCTTGTAAACTTTCTGTTTCTCTTTCTTCTAAAACGTTTTCTCAAAAGTAGCGGCAAGTTATTGAACAGAGATCGTGGTGGACTTACTGCTACCAGCCTTACTAGACATGCGAAGACAGAAGGGGGGCCAGAAGTACGGATCGCCTGGGATATAGCGGGCACGGAACGATTCACAGGCATTTCTAAAGGGGAAAGATATAATGTTGGTATTACCTATACATTTGCTTCTGAGTTCATACATCTTAACCGGGCAGCCACCAGAAAGTTACATTTGAGTAGTGTAGAATGCGTGACGCGTCTTAGAATGCACAAGTGATTGACGCGCGAAATCGCAAACCAAGATTTCTGAACTGCTGAAATTTATCGACGAGACGCGGTATAGTACGTCCAAGGTGTGTGCATGGAAGGAACACAAACCTTAATTTATGACAAGTTACGTCCAAACGCTGCACGAATTGGCGCAAGTGCTAAGAAAGCGCAGCGAGAACGGCAAATCGATGAGAGATACCGACGGATGTCACACAAAGGCCGCTCAGTATTCGCAGAATGGAATTGATTTCTCGAAAACTGCGAGGAGTAAAGATCACCAATTTATGGTGAAAAACGTCGGTCTAATGAACGGTTTCGCGAATTATTTGTATGGATAATTTGTTTAGGTCTGCGAACCTCCAAGGCCATCAATAACCACTGAATGGGAGAAAGTGCCTGAAGTAATAAGATATGGCGAATTGCGATCAAACGTGAGTAGTTTAACTTGGACGAAATTTGCGAGTAATTCCGCAGCTGAATTAAGTTATTAAACTTTTTAGAGTCTACGTCGTGCTTTTTCGGATTCCTCGGGTTTCCATGTATTGCAGACCACCTGTTGCATCTATTCGTGACGCAAACAGCCTTGTTGCTTCATTTACTGAGTGCACGCACAAATACCACACGGTTATCCGTCAAATATTCCTATAACGCCTTCTCAAATATCATGACGGTTGAAAAGCCAATAGCCCTTGAAATCTCAGAAAACATATCTGGCGCCACTTCCGAAGCCATGGCACAGCAAGTTCAAAGTCCATTGTGCGCCAGCAATTAAGAAGAGAGATTCATTAAAACAAATCACGATAAACTGGAGCTAGATCGAGGTAATTCTTGGTCTGAGCACGCACACGGCTAAATCAAACATTTGTGTAAAGACTTTATTAGACCCACAAAGGTTTTGCAGAAAATAGTATTTTGTGACCAAGGATCACCATAGCTAACCAATATTCGGACGGTAGAATAAGTGGGACGCTGAAAATTACTCCAGTGCTGCTAATCTCGCGGCCCTATAATGTATCAGAAGGTATCACGATGTGTGCGGATATGTTCGGCCAAAATGGGACCGATATAATTTGCGAGATTCAGAATGAGAAATGACCTAATACCAAGGTATTTTGACCCCATATTTAGCCAAAAATGGGTATCATGGAGCATTAGCCATAACCAAAGGTGCTTCCAATAAAGAATTTGCTCATCACCGGAAGCTGTGTTGGTTGGGATGCATTGCTTATGGCGAACCATCGTTTGCCCAAGAGAGGGCTGTTTTTGAAGTCCAACTCAAAGTTGCGGAAGAAGGGATACAGCCAAATCGTGGCCTGGGGAAGATTACGAAACGCTTGGGCGCCATCGGTGCTACTCGCCTTCCAGGATGGGAACAGCGTGATTTCTACTGCGCCTGACTGAACAAGTACAAGTTATAGCTGCCAACCGATGTCAGTAGAGTTTTTATTACCAATTTTTATCCAGGTTGCCTGAATGAGTGCCCGGAAGCGTTTCTTTCCTTTTCTTCACAATAAGACTTTCAAATAAATCATGGTTATACAGCAGTGGAGCATGGGTGCTGAACATTGATGTCATGCCGTTGATGGTGGCGATGACCAAGGGCGAATATAAAGCACACTGGTGATCCGGCGAAAAAGGTTATTTCTGGCATTATTTTAACCCGTCATTAAAAAAAACATGAGCAAAAATAAGCAACCAGCGAAATGAAGAATGAAAACTAAGGAGGCCGCAGAGCTAGTGGTATTCTCAACGTTGCGATGTATAAACATGCGCTGCCCGGGCACTGATCTGTCACAGCGCTTTTCATAAGTAAGGTACACTGCATTGGCAATGTTTTGTATGAGCACGAATGCACAGGGCGTCGCATAATCCTCAGCAGCCAGACTACGAAATAAAGATCGGCGAGAAATAAGTGGGCTTGTCTGTGTCCTATGGAAGGTAACCCTTCACTGTTGAACTCTTCGGACACTTACGCAGACTGTTTCAAGGAAGCAAGGAAAAGGGCGTCGGTCCACAGATTGTGTCCTACCTTTTCGTTATCAGTCACTTCAAATACCGAACAAGTGGCTGATTGCATCACCCAGACTAGGCAGAAAACGGGACTTCTCTTGCAGTTGATGGAACTGAATGCACGAGACGAGAAAAATTAACGACGGCATACGATGGGCCAAACCTAAGATGAAGTTATTTAAACGCAATTTTTCACTCAGTTTCCATCTGTCTGGCAGAAATTAGAATACATGTGCTGTAGCCCGGGATCAAATCTTATCAATTTCGCAGGGACTCCTCGGTTTCTCTCCTGACAGAGGATGTCTCTTAGATCTACAGCACAACAACCAGCACGGCAACACGTTTAACATGTCCCTCAGTGCTTGTAGATACGCCTCTTTTTGCCATGGGTGTCACAATTTGTTAAAAGTTGCTCGAGTCCTGCAGAGTCTTACATTAGCCTCACCCCTCATTCTCATTCGGAGCCAAACAATCCCGAAGAAGTTCGAAAATCCCCACGGCTGCCACTGTTTTCCCTCAAATAAAAAACAGTGTTACAGAATGGTGACCATATTCACCGGGTAGAGAGAATAGGACAGATCTGCCCCCGAAACGTGCGCCCTGTTCTTTGAAAAGCAAAAAACCTCATCTGCATTTTCCAGATAGACAACATGCTGGATGAGGAGAATAAGATAAACTGAGGGTAGACTATTTCACAGTGTTCGCCTGGCTGTTTTCATGAACGTAACGTCGAACAAAAGGGGCACAGCGGATAAGCCTTTTTCGCGCTGTCTTCGCGAAACATCTTGAAAACTTTACCACGTCAACAAGCCATGAACTATAATTATGCCCGATACGTTCGAACTTCAGAGGCGTTTTCTGCTAAACAGATGCTTAAGCAACTGGCGAATACAACTGACTACACGCTGGAACCTCGAAAGTAGCAAAATTATAGGGTATGTACGTATACAGCCACCTTAGAAGTGGTATGGGCTTGAACAATATCACATTTTTCGTTTGCTGCCCCCAAGCCAATCCCTCAGCTTTCGTCACAAAGCGATAAGTCTCAGGTAGCGCAGTAGATCTGTGAGGACAAAAAAGAGACTGATCAAGATATGTCAGTTGCATTGACTGAACCCGTTGTTAAGATTGCCACCATTTACAATTAACCCTGGTTGTCCGGGAGAATCAAACTCTCAAAATATGTTGTCTTGCTGAACGGTAGTACAACTCTGTAACGGCCCCTTGGCTTCCTGCTCCACCCATTATGGTATATCAAAGAGGACCCAACCTCTACACAGCCGCTTCAGTAATTTGGATGAGAACACATCTAGGAAAGGAGCTTGTCTGCACTTGAGGGAACGTCAGGAGCCAGAAGTTGATTCCAGGTTAAACAATTAGACCAATGGTGCAGCTGGAGTGCCCGAGAAAAGCGGTCGAAAAAGACAAACGTTACTGTTTGATGAACTCAGTTGGGAGATCAAGACATCCACATTTATTCAAGATGCGTTTTGAGTATGATCTTCGCCGTGTGTACTCAAGGCAGCTAGTCGAGGATTTACAGAATGGACTGAGTGAAATAGACGCTGAGCGTTCCCTGTAGCTCCGCACTATACCTTACGTTTTTGCACACACCGACGCACATGAATTGCGCACATCCTGGTTGCTTATCGGCGTCCCATGGCTCAAGGAAATGTAACGTGCTCGAAGCCCGCAGAAGGCCCACCTTTTCAAAGACACTATCCTAGACAAGTGTAGAGTCGGAGACAGTGCCTGTATAAAAAACGGCTCGTAACGTGTGTTGCATCCTTAACACAATTGCCTCGAGAGGAAGTTTGTGTACGCATTAGGCTGTTTGAATTATGAGACTCAGGCTTGTGAGAGTATACAGAGAACCATCCAAAATATTCCGTACACAAACCGGTGTCCGTCAAGGGTGCCAACTCTCTCCATTTCTATTTAATTTCGTGATCAGTGAAACAATGGGACGAACGCTGGAGGGTATTCACATCCCCGGTGTTCAAATATCTGCTGAGCTGGAATATGCAGACGATATCTCCTCTCCAAAAAGGAGAAGGGGCGGAGGCTTTTGGATGACCTGACAAAAGGCAACCTGTCCTGTTGCGTGTGCTGTGCACCCGCAGAGTGAAAATTCATGCTCGCACAAATACAGTAACTGAACTCACCGCTTACAACCCAGAAGAGGCACTCGAAGTTGTGGAGCGTTTTACGTATATTGAAAGTTGTACCAACTTCGACTGTGGTGTGACAGAGGTCAGTTTTCGAAGCTGAAAGCCTCGGGTCTCATTTGATAATTTGACACCTATGGCGTCAGATGAACATCCCTGAATCCCAAGATACGTGTGAACCACGCCTGAAAATGGGCAGTTCTGTTATGTGGTTGCGAGACCTGGCCTGTTCGGTCAGCCAAACTGAAAAATCTGCAGGTCTTCGACGACGGCTGTCTCAGAACTATAGCTCATAAGGTTGGTATCAGCGAATCAGTAATCAGGCAGTTAGAAAGCGAGTGTTCGCTTGTGCATCGCGGACCTCCAGTGATGAATGTGCCCAGCACAATAAACAGCGTTGGCTAGCGTATGCATTGCACATGCCAAACCATCGTTTTCCGAGGATAGTGCTGCTTCCCGTGATCAATCCTGAGCGGCATAACCAGAAGGGTGGCCAACCGTTGGCTTGGAAGAGGGATATGAAGGCTGTCATGAAAAGTCTGGGTGCTGTAACGGTAACTCACCCTCCAGGATGGTGACCACGCGATCTCCACGGTAGCCAGTTGGGGATGCTGCAACATACGGCTGGCAATCGATGTCAATGGCGTTTTTGTTGTCAGTTTCCAGTGTAGACGAGTATCTGGAGGTCTAGACACCTAGGAATTACTTCAGTAGAATAGCACAACGTCCCACCTTTGTCCACCTCAATTCTTTCCCCCTAAAATAAGGAGTGCAAATATATCATGGCTGCACGGTAGCAAAGCATAAGTGATGAACACAGATATAATGCTGTCGATGATGACGAATGGAAGTAATGCGGCAATTCACTGCTGGAAGATTTATCAAACGTTCCATATCGTTGGTCAAACGTGAGCCAATCACAGGCGGATCGCCATCCACGCAGTCATCTGTGTCAACGCGTGGTTGCATTGTCTGAGTGATCGGTAAAACTCAGTGAACTAAATGGCGGCATGATACATGGAAGGTTGATCTGACCACTCTATTCTACCTTAATCGGTCCGATCCGACAATAGGCTAACTGGGACATGATCTACGAATGTGCTCTCAGAAAAAAGCATTTAAAAATTACTGTCGACAATGACGTGGCCAGTACATTGGCAGTAGCCAGCAGTATAAAAGCAGTGTGTGGTGACGTTCTCAGGGGAGCTCCATCATTTCATCACACCTACGGTGTAGGAAGATATCAGTACTGACGATATGGTTGCCAGATTATCTAGGTCTATCAGCCGGATCAACAACGACACAACCAAGCTGTACTAGAAGATTCACTTCATAACACTTAGTGTTCATTTGAAAAGTCTGGCCAGGTCGTGTTGTGTCCACACTACTAGCGACCTTCTGTACTGGGAGCAGCCAGTATGAAAAATTCTCTTGTAAAACTTACTGGACAGCATCAGGAATTTGCGAACGAAGCAACCAGCATGGCTTACTTCTGATTTTGTGCGCCATGAATTACCACAGCTAAATATTAATCAAACTCCGTGCCAAATGGCGTAGACTTCCTCTGATTTCTCAGAAAAAGTGTTCGGACATAGTCTTCCGAAATTCTTTTTTGAAGGTTTGGTTTTTTTCCACACGGATCTGATCACAAAGTAGGCTGTGACACTGCGGTCACTCTAGACTATACACCTATTTTGGAGATCACTGTGTACGCTGTTGGATACTCGAATTTCGCCACCGTCCCCGGGGGGAGCATTCCACATTTTGTAACTATATCAAGATGGTTCACACCCACTCGTCTTCTATCTGCCAAGTAGCCGGCTCCGTAGCGGTTCACACCACCTCTAGAACTACCATAGTGCCAGAGCACAAACGAGCAGAACGATTTCAAGCTATCTCCCACGTACCCACAGGCTTTATGTACCACAAAACCACTTGCATCGATCAGCTGACATTGGCTAAGGTACGGTGACGTCGGTTAGTTGTTGTACTAGAAGTACGCAATAGCTTGTTTACTGGGTCTTAACTGTTGAGGTTCTCCACTGTGAATCCACCAGTGCCTCCGAAGACCTGTTTTACGTTTCTCCATATTGTGTTTCAGGCGAAATCCAGATTTTGTATCAACCTGAGGGAAGGAGTTGCTGATGTTTTAGTCAGTCTATGAGAATCCGAGCAGCCAACTTGCCGACCGATATGAAACTACGAACTTTTGGTTCCCTACCCTTAAATACATTCACCAAATTTATTGAAAAAGACAACCTCTTGCATGCTATCGCTGTGGTTACACTCGACGCAGACAGGGTGCGCCAGTTTAGACCCTAAGCGATTCCGTTCGACGATGACGGATTCGGAGTAGGGCAAATCTACCTGTACATGTAACCTGAAGACACTCACTCCATATAGTGTCGAAAAACGAAATCCTTTTGGAGTACAGGGGCGTTACGAAACGGGTTGTGGATAGAGTGGTGTTACATGTTGCTTACAAAAGATTGTCTTCCTATTGCCGAATCATTTGTTTTCTAGTGGAACCGGCCATGCAACTTAAAGTCACCCCCCCCCCGAAGCTATCGTTCATGGTTACCCAACAGGATTGGACGTCGCGGACGTTAATAGAGACGTGGAGCTGCCTTTGAATAACAATCAGTCGGAGAATACAAACAATTTGCTCTGGTAAATTGCAGCTGAGCTTCTAATGAGCATCACACTGATTTGGAAATTGGTGTACGTCGCAGCATATGCACAATTAGATAAAAGGCGTGACAGAAAACCGGAGACTAGGCATACCTGATGGGTCTCGAAAAGGTCGAACTGGTAGTGAGCTACCCAGTTCCCATCGACCTTGTTTGCAGACTGGAGACATATGTCGATACTTCGAATATCCTGCCGGCTAGTGCATGGCGCGCCTTTGTGTAACAAATCCGCTTAAATACTACAGACAGAGGATAACTTGTCTTCATTCCTACAAAAAGGCATGATATTAATCCAAATGCTGTGTCTGGATTCCGGTTGGAACCTGACCTCCGGAAAAACACACTTGATGCATTCGTCAAACTACTAGACCATATTATTTTGTGCGGTGATACCAATAAACATAGATGGATGAACAGAACATGAAGAACTCCTGACCTTGAAGCTTCTGCTACCCGAGTGCACAAACCACCCCAATTCCCTTTGGTCTACATGGACATTAAGGGCTTACATAATCACCACATTCGGTTCCGCACAAAATAAATATACGGAAGCTAGCCTTTCAAACACTGTTGAGCGGCAGATCCGCTTCGCCTGCCATAATCGCCACACACTTTTTCTTGACCACCTACCCTCTATCTCAAACTTCCATGTGGCACTTGAAGAAAAAACGAACACAGAGTAGCAGATGAACTATGTATTCATGAACCGATACATTCCTGTACAGCGTGACGCAAACTATCGGCACATAGATTGCGGCCTAAAAAGAAGATAAACTGTATCAGTGCACAAGTATGAGAACATTACCAATGAATACTAGGCGAAGTCCAACGGGAGGAAAGGAAGTTGTGTGCTCTGGAGGCACCGGATTTAAGTCATACAGTTCATTGACTCCCTGTAGTATGTAAACGTGTTCATCACCAGCAAAGCGGACGAAACCCTAAGAAGTAAAACGGGAGAAAATAAGGGAAAGATTTTACTCCTTTTGTAGTACTATACCTATAATCAAACAGAACTGCATCTGAATCATGAAATTATGTTAGGAAGGCGAATTGCACGATTTTCGTGTAAATTTGACTTGCTGAAGCAGTGAGTCTCAAAGGAACAGTGAAACCCACGGTGAACAAAGGCCTGCCTAACCCGACCTTCACATTCAGCAGTGCGTTTGCGTTCCACTGATAGTCTTCGGTTGTTGCATTTTATTAAGTGGACAGAAGAGGGAAAAACGGATAATTCATTGAAAGGATTTAACCACTACAGACCAAAATGAATCTGATTTCAGCTGAATACGAACTGGTGAACTGGCAAAGAGCCAACAACCGTAAACCGGCTGCTGGAAAAGACGAAAACTATCGACCAGAATAATGTGCGAACTTAACACCGGTGTCGAGTGTGACTGGATATAAAGCACTACTTTTTCTTCAAATCAGTTTTCAACAGGTTATTCGTGGCACACTGGTTATTAAAATTCAGTTGCCGTACCTATTTCCGAGAGGACGAGTTATAATCGGTATATCAAGTTTCACAGAGTGGTCTTCTACAGTCATGTCAAGCAACTGGAAATTTCGGCAATATGGAGGAGACAAGCGTATCGAGACCAGTGGTAGGTGGTGTATTCAGCGGTTTGCGGGGATACCATCATCTAACCTACAGAAACCTTAAACGTTTGGCCCCGCCAAAGTCAATACCAAAAAATGATAATACAACGTACAACGAATATTCGCTCTCGTAACTCTTCTCGATCTTGTGTTCCAAAACACAGTCTAAACAATAATGTTAATACATTCAATCATCTTCCATCTTCATCCTCTTCCTTTTGTTTCCAATCAGGACAAGTCTACGGAAATGGCGAGCTGACTCACGTCCGATACCCGAATTATTTGCTATTTCGACAGTTTTGGACGGGGTTTGGAAGTGAACAGTTTCGACAACCGTCATCCACTTGATCCTTTCAATTCAGTTTTTTGGATTAAAATTAAGTTTCATGCGGATGAGCGAATAGAGCTACTACCTCCTCTCCCAAAGGAAAATTGGGTTTGGATGTTTTATTTGTTGAATTTCACTTGTGGACAGGCAGAATTCACTGCCGAACCCCTTATTGTTGGTGACTTCAAATCAGTAACCCTGAACGGCTTACTTCCTCAACCGCCAACAATCAAGCCGGTCACGAGGCAGTTTTTCCAACAACCAATTGCTTTTCCCAACTATGGAAGTGAAGTAACAGTGTTCTGATCTGGTGTTTATGCCAATGATGATGATCTTCAATTTTTGAGTTCTCCTTTTTATTCCCCGGAATATGAAGTCGATTAGCCACGAACCTGGAGCCTTTCTCGAACCAACCTCACCTCTGAAACTCTCTTCTCACCTTACTAGAAACCTCAGATTCCAAACTTATCGTATGATTCGGGTTCACAGACAAGTGGAAATTTATGCACCTACTTTACTTTCACATCCCTAACCTTTTCAGGTTATCCCCCGAATAATTCGATTAAAACAAATGCTCTGGAAGACTACGAATGCGCGATTTATGATCAATCGTGATTTGTGCGGACAGGCGCAATGTACCTAGGGCAGATGTCCGAATGACCATGCCAAGGTGTATGCTGGTGCGTCGATATATTCATCTTGCAACCTAGAAAGGGGTTCAAACTTTAGAAGCAGCCCACCCAACCATTAAGCTTACTCATGATTCAAAACAAGGCCCTCCGAATTGTAGGTCGAGGGCCTGGATACGCGGGCATAAGGCAAAGGATAGTAAGCACAGCTGAGGTCATTGTCGTTTGCCCTTATGATCTCCATTCGAGAATGTCGAGGCACTTTGTCACAAACTGTACAACCACGATCAAGAGTCTGCGCACATTTTTTCGCCAAAAGGTCGATTACCGAAACCGATCTATCAATGTCTAAAGAGAAATTCGCAGAAGTCTCTGCCAATGACATTCAAGTCTTTGGTCCCCAATTTTCGGAATGCGGCACACGTTCTGTTCTCGAGCAATTTAATCGTGCCTGTTCGCATGCCTTTGCATGAATAAATCGCTACCCTTCCACTCACCCTAACTGAGTGTGTGTTCGGAAGTCTTGCAAGGCTTCTACGAAGATCCTTCCAAGCCCGGCCAACCGTAACTTTGGTCCTATGCTATTCCGTGGTGGCCTAAGATCGCTTTTATCAAGGGTCAATACTTCAGGAATCTGGCATTTCACTACCCTAAACCTTACTCACCCATCCTTCATTACCCAACTCCGAAATGCTCAACATTCCCACAACAGTGTCCGCCACTCTTATTCTCAATCAAACAGTATCTCGATATTTCTTCATTATATGTACCGCCGAACGAGTATTTATAAACGTTCATCTTTTCGCAGTAACGTACTATAAATATATTCTCAGGAAACTACTTAGATGTCTGGATTCAGCTAGTATCCTAACAGCAAGCGCCCATTTCTAGGATCCCCCTTTTGTCTAACTTCCTGGAATATTTGGAGGTCAACTAGTCACCGCGCAATCTACAAAATGCATTCACCCCGGGGTCCATTACGAACAACTTCCCCCGGTTTTACATGAACGTCTAAATTGAGGACATTGATCTTGTGCGTGGATGGTGATGCGGGAAACAAGTGATTAGTTTGATGTCTGGAATTCGCTTTCCATTCAGTACCGCAAATCCTGAAAAGATTACTAGTACGGCAAGCGCTTCATAGCTATCCATCCAACAAATCACGTACAGGTGCAGACAATTTTGTGTGAGGATGTTGCTTGATCGTACTCAGCAAGGTGAGGGTTTCTCCAAGTCACGGGACGACGCAAGTATTTTTGGAACGTTGTCAACCAAAGGTAATGGTTCGGAGCATAAATTATGTTCTAATTTATAAACATAGAAATTGATTGACAACAGTTACCATTATTCTGTGGCCTAATGATGTCCGGGAAAACCTATCGGAGGTAATCAGGACCCGAATCAGCAGTTCGGTTACTGTAAAGCAATAATAATGATTCAGCTGTGACACCATGTCGGTGCCTACCTACCACGCCACCCAAAATGAGCCAGAAGGCTGACATGTCACCAGGTTGCCAAAGCCTTGAGAGGAACAGTCACGATGGCGAGGTTTGGTTCGATCTACGGACTTTCTGATCACGTCTCAACCACTGAGCCACCTCGAGTAGTTTGGTAACGGATCATAATATCCTAATGACGGCAGAAACAGCCAAATAAAGGCAGCGGGGTTCTGGGGTAGAAGCTGAGTTGATAGCATGTCTTGTGGATCACTGCGAAGGCGCCACCGGACGTGACCAATGCCCGTAGAACCCATTCCTGACCACAATGAAGCATTTAACTAAAAACGTTGAATAAATAGGACTTCTACTGGCCCAAACCCACCGGGCAGCCCTATAAAGAACGACGTTGAGTTTGACTCACAATTGGCTATCCTGTCGATATATATCCTTGGTCATTGTGGAATCGAATAGGATTGTATTCAAATGGCGGTGCCCAGTGAATAGATACAGTGTTAAACTCGCACCTTTCTGGTATCCTCAGTAAACCCGCACAAACTGTATCAGCTGGGTAACTGGAACGAAGCTGATCAACAGGCACCGTATAGAATAGTCAAAAAGAGCAATCTTCTAGCACAATGTGAAGATAACAACAACCAACAAACTTAACGCGTCGCATGTTGTATATTTGCACCTGCAGGTTCTGAAAAAGTCAGCAGGGAACATGGCGTTGACCTGCCAAACCAGAACTTCACCAGTGGATCAGAAATCAGTGTAACCCGCACTTGATTCTTTTTAGCGGATGAAATTCATATGAAAACCCTGAAATAAGGTTGCTCACGCAACTATATGGACGAACCAAACCGCAAGAGATAAAACGCGGGTGCTATAGACCTATTTGTTATCAAGATGGGATCTTTTGTAGCGAAAATTGCCTGAGAACCATGTTAGTCAGTCATCAGTTATAGCATCCACTATCACCTTATTACAAAAATCTGTCAGTATATGGGGAAGTGGAAAATAAGTGGCTAAACAGCTGCAGTATGCACATCGGTAGCATGGAGACGGTCTTGTGGAGTTTGTGCAAACACTGTCCCGGAATCACTTGTTTTGACATACTAACGAGTGGGGACTTATCCAACACGACCATCACATTAATTAAAAGCCGTTAGGTCTGGATTATTACAAGTGACTCAAAAAATGCCCATGGTGTTTAGCAGTTCATGCAGCAATCAGCTGTACGGTGACGACTAAAATATGACCTCCGGCTTCTCCTAAGATATTCCACATCCAGTCACAGCTGGCGGAGAACGTTGCTTTTGTTCCTCTAGCGTCTGTTTGGAGGGTCTGGTGTTTTGCATCTCACTTTTAAAACCCATTCTTGAACTGAGTTTGAGATATTCCACCGTAAGAACCGATAAATGCCAAGTGACGGTAAACTGCACAACATTCGAGGCAATATTAATTGGCTTGCCTGTCCTTTAGCGGGTACCCATGGCCAGCTTGTACATTATTGAGCAGTAAGTGTTTCGGTAAGTTCCACAATTAGTGATATAAATTTTCCACTAAAACACTACTCGATAAGTGCAGTACCATGAACTTGGTAACTACTGCCTTTGGGAAACGAATATATAACCGGTAATAAACGGATACAGCACACAAGTTTTGTGTAAGACGACTAGAATGTGGTTAACCAAACTGTACCTTAAGCCGCATAACCACAATAGGTTCACCATTTCCGGAAGAAATTCGCTTTTCCCAAAGCAAGGATTCGACGAAGCCCTCAAACAGACGTCGTAGTACCTTCTCACTGAGTTCAATCGTAACTGTGGATATTCTCTAGAAACACTAGAGTACATAGAGTCAGAGGTAGATACCTGATCCAAATGCGAACCGTTTTCAATCTTTTGAACTTCGAAATTTCCTGGTTTCGGACTGAAATGAGTTTGCGGAAAAGGTGTCAGTCGTGATTTAAAAAATGAAGGTTGTACTATAAAAATAATAACTGTTCAGCTGTAACCCCATTTCGGTGCCTAGCTGCCACGCCACCCGAGGGGAGCATGAGGGCTGGAATACTGCCAAGTTTTCCACGCCCAGAAAAAAAACGAGATGCAGAGGCCGGGTTCGAACCACGGACCTTTGGGTCAGTAAACTTGTGCTCTAACTACTGGGTCATACTACTGATCACGATATTAAAATAAAATCGATGTGGTTACGGCTCTTTGCAGCCCAACCAGCAGAAGAAATAAAGCACATTGCATCAATAACGTATTCCTGAAAAACAGGTGTTCAGCATCGAGGGATGTTTTTCGAAATGCATGTGAAGTTCTGATCAAGGTCGCACGGATAGTATGCGAAGCTGTAGTAGGTGGAGCCAATGTCTATAGCATGAAGTCTAATTAACAAACAACCACCTCAATGTGATGATTATTTCAAGAACAAGGCGTTCTCAGCAAACACGCATGGGACCTGTTCCTAGCTGATGATGAAAATGTTGGATAGACATAACTTGTGATGAAAACGATCCATCGAATACCAGGTTACAAAATCCACGCAGAAGTGTCTGTTATCGACCGTTGGTCGGCAAGGTTGGAATCTTAACCTTAATTTTAACGAGCTAGTAAAAAGCACATGCCAGACAAGATTAACACCAGAAAACGCTATGGTCATCATTTTATAACAACGGACGAGTGGTTACAGCGCTAATTTACTGACCAGAAGGTCCGTGGTTCGAACCCGACCTCTGCCTCTGGACTTTCCCTGTTTAAGCTTAAGCAACCTGGCAGTATCCCAGCCCTCGTGCTTCCTTCGGGTAGCATGGAAGCTAGGCCGAACGATCTTATAACAACGGGAGGTGCAGCTTTGTAACACTACCAGCCATCTGCAAGATACACAGACAATAACAACAGATTAAAACAGCTGCATATATACGTTATTGGTCAACCCGAACAGACTTGCCAATTCAAGGAAACACTTTCAAATATGATACATTCAGCATTCGGAAACTTCATTCGTTTTGCAAAACCAGTGGGCTGGGGTCGCAAATTTCAAGTCATCTAATGGACCGCAAAACATTGTTGAAGAAAACTTACGTTGCAGAATATATATTGAGGTCGAGGATATCATCCAAGTTCACTCTAAAAAACAGAGCAAGAGGGAGGAATACCGCAAACACAATGGCAAATGCGATTCACAGGCGATCATCCATGAACTGTACACTGATGCCGAGGAACCACCATAAACGAGACCTGTTTTGTGATTCAGCGCGTTCCTTCCAGCATGAATCTACAAGACATTGAATACAAGCACCACAGTACCCGCCAAAATCGATCAAGGTGAGCGACAAGAAAGTCTTTCCGTGAGAGGAACCTTGGCATTTATCGCTATTCTCCTTGGAGTACACCTCCCATAACCATAACCCGTAAACCGTCAGGCCCTAAAAATGGCTGCTCAACTCCACTCCCCAAAAACGAGGTGTCACACTGACAATGGCTTTCGTCGTTGATGCAGATTCACCTGTTGACCAGCGAGACAGGCGAGTGATACTACCAATAAAAATAAGACAGAGCTCAGTAATGATACTTCACCTGTGCACAGTTGCTAAGTGATCCGAAGAGCCAAGACGGCTGAGTTACTGACAGATTTGTGCAGACCTGTGTGCACAATGGCTGTCATTTACTCTGCCACAAATATACTGCCATTTATATTTATATATTTATATATACATTTTTATCAAGTGATATTCTTCCGTCCCGAATGGATACAAACGCTTTATAAGGTGCGCTTTTCGAGAGGTACTGTGTCAGAAATTGTTGGTTAATGGTGTTCCAAATACCTGACTCCTGTCAGCAGCGACAAATCCATTCGTTTCAGCCAGCGCAACCGCAACCACAAAAAATTGCCGGAAAGGTTAAAGAACGACCGCTTCCTTGAAACAACACTAACCACAGCGCCTCCCTTGCTTATGTCACCGTTCCTGTTGGCGTTCAAGGATCGCGTTTTCCTGATTTCAGAAAAAAAAATAGAGTAGCCCTAACCGACTATCGTTTTCCACTCATCTGAATGACCCTCAATTTCCCGTGAAACAGAGATCCGGTTTTTATTCCAAGTTGTGCGACACCAGAAATACCGAAAAGGAAAACGCCAGACACATTGTAGTCATGTGTTTGAATGTGGGTGACCCAAAAAGGATATTATTACGCGCGAGGTCGCATCGGAAGCTTCGATTTGTCCTCCAATTCAGCGCAAGGAAGTCCGTTTACAGTGCATCGCTAAACAAATTAACTTGACTTTTACATTACCGCAGCTAACCGGTGGGAAACAGAAAGGCAAAGAACACTGAGCGTTGAGAGAATTACGTAAGAATGGTCATGGTAGACCTTTTATAGGGCACATGGAAGGAGGCTTGATTAGCTGATGTTAATAGCCTATTCGAGGAGAATTTCTGTCCAGACAAGCGGACAGATTTGATCACCATGTTGTAGAAGGATCAACTCTTTATTAGTGATTCTAATGTTAGAATGAGTTGCACGTCCATTATAGAGACTCGAACGTGCATCCGTCGACCTGCGACGCCAAACAGTTGTCAAGTTTGAACTACAGGCTTAAAGAATACTAAGGCCTGTTTACCATATCCTTTATTCGATTGTCTCAGACTAGTTTGTTGTGCGATTCCTTGCTGTGCTGACTAGTTGTATTTTAGCAACTGCGTTGGTATCAAAGCTGATTGCTAAGCCGGAATGTTGAAAGTCAGAACACAACCAATCGTACTAAACGTGGAAGTTGAACAACACCAGCGTCTGTGGAGCTGTCCGAACTGCCGGTAAAACTGAGCTAGTGGGCGGATGGTAGGTCGATGCCTACGCCCGTTCTACACGAATAGTCACAAAACATAACTGGAAACGAACAACCTTACAAAGACAACGTTCCAAAGAGAGATTTATCTTCAAAATATTCAGGCTCTATAGACTCGGCAGCGAAGATAGCCAAGGTGTCTACATATCCAAGCTAGGCTCGAAGAATTAATCGGGAAATGCATGCATGAGGTCCTCAGGCTCAAAAGCGCAGGTGGACAACTGACTTTTCACAGTATCTGTTGCGTGTTATGATGGAATATAACCACCAATAGAGAAACTCGGGTAGGCGGCATGACGCGAAAGTGGAGTCTGTCGGATTGGAGTGATTGATTAGCGAGTTGGACAAGCATGCCTTTAGCGAAATACACTCATTTGGTTTTGTGAGGGACTCACCTGGAACCCAGCTGAATCTCTCGTTTATGATGTTTCTAAGCTGCACAGTCAGTTGCTTGGGTTGCTGGGTTCCAGGTGAGTTCCCCGCAAAACCAAATTTGTTTTCAAATGAGTGTATTTCGCTAATTTCGTGCAATTTGGGTTCTAGTAGTAGACTGACAGAAACTAGGGGCTTATCTGGTGAGCCCCAAGGAGAACGGGGCCGGTCGTGGGTTGTCGAAGAATTTTCAGCAACCTTATGAGTAGTGTATCACTTCTATATAAGCATGTCCTTAAGCTTCCTTAAGCTTACCGATGTTGCGGTTGCAGCAATGGTGAACGGTTTGTGTGGAGTTTTGGCAAATAATGCGGGTTTAGGAATATAGGGACTTACTGTGAGTAGGTTGTTTGCAGTAGTCGAGCTGCTGAATTGATTGTTCTGTGAACGCAAAACGAAATCAACAAAATCAAGTGACAGTCGATGGTCTTCTTGAATACGAAGATGAAAACTGCAATATGGAGTGGGGCACGCATACAGGTATCCGAATTGGCTGAATGTACGATACAATGGCTTATTCACAGCACGAGGTACTGGAGCCCACTGGCATAATGGTGAGTGATTGGCAGGAATGTACAGAACTTTCACACAATTTGAGGTGTGAATCCGGGGGCACAATTTTCGCCAAATATTACCTTTGAAAACTTGCACTGGATATGTGCCTGTGGAGAATCCAATTGATACCGCAGATGAGTGTTTAAAGATGGTTATTAGGTCAGGAAGACTGGTGAGTTTCAAATCCGCGATTAGGTAAGAGAATTGGGACAGGATGATGAACACAACCAGTGTGCGAACGATTGTGAACAACATTCGCCTAGCACACCGGACATTGAAACTAAGAAGACTATGCGATAATTTGTCAAAACACAAACCGTATATGATATGTGATAGATTTGAAACCACATAAATGGAGTCGAAAATATTCTATGGCGTTTTAGTCCCAAATGCTTTAAACGTAAATTAAACCTTGTAAAATGCGATCTGCAGAAACAAGAGTGCACCGAAGAATTAGCATTAAGACTACTCAGCTGCAGTTAACCGAACTTCAACCTACCTTAGCACCTTACTTCAAGTATAGCACGGAAGAAATATGTTTCATGAAGTTTTTCTAAACTCTACATTGGTCGTTGGCTGGCTACCGAGATTAAATGACGACCGATTTGAGACCATTTCAATTTGAGTCAAAATCCGTATCTCTGAAGGACATGGCTCAGTGGTTGGAGGGCGGATTTATTGATCTGACCTCTGCCTCTCGACTTCTCCTGTCTAGGCTTGGGCAACCTGGCAGTATCCAAACCAAAGTCCTTCCTTTGGGTGGTATGGCATCTGAGCACCGAAAGGGTGTTAGAGGTGGACGATCATCTATTATCTGAACCGAATTTCGTTTATATTGAGAAAGTTAAAGAACGAGCGTTGTGGCAGTACTTATTGAATAGGAAAGTAATACTCGATAGCCCCAAGTTTTCGACGAGCACCTGCGTCTACCAAAGAGACAAGTTCACGTAGCAGCAACGGGATCCAAAAATGGAAACCGGTCGATTTCAGCCAGTTGCGCTCGACCGTGGTTAGAGACTGTTATCCTCTCAAAGCAATATAAGGAGACCTTAGATAGCTGTATACGTTTATCAGGCTAACTGTCACAAAAGACCTAAAAGTTATGAAAATACTGTTACACGATTTGAAGTGGGAAAGTACCCTCACCATGGCTTGACCGAACCGAAAAATGTAGTCAGACTGTCTGAGTTGGACAACTTATTTAATGAGTGTTTGGTTCCAATTTACATACATGGGGATTGACTTGCTGATTAAGGTAGGCTAACCTTGAGTACTGTATTTATCCACTATTATTCTTTTCCTATAATCTATCAGAATAGAATATTTTGACTACAAAATATTACCTGAACTCAAACTAAAGTGAGTCCACTTACCGCACCCGATCGAGCACCTTATTCCTGTGGTGATCGGAAATCAAATCCACCTTGTTCAGGATCAAAACATCTGCCAGTGCTATCTGCCTATTGAGACAGTGCACAAACAAAACCGAACGAACCTTTCGCAATCGTTCACTTGACCAGTAGTATCGCTTGTCATTTGGGAGAGGCAATATTTCCCGTCCAAAACAGTGACTATTCCGTCCAGGAAGAGTTTACTGCAGAGACTCTCGTCAAGCCAAAAGATAGAAGCAATAGGGCCTGCAGAAATGGATGTGTTGTCATTCAAAGCATGTACCTGGGTCCGCCAGACCAGTTGTTTCGATCAGCACGTAATCAAAGTCCCCTCGACGTTTCATCAGGTTTTCAATCGCCTTCACACCGGGGTCTTTTAGAGAACAGCAGAGGCATCCATTTCGGAGTTCAAGCCATTCTTCAAACATGTCGCCTGTCTGTTGTTTGACTGCAACGCTTGACTCAAGGGCTGACCCTTCACCGAAGTCATTCAGAATTACCGCTATACGCTTTCCATGTGACCGAGTGAGAATGTAATTCAGCAAGGTCGTCTTTCCTGCACCTACAATATGAACGGGTGAGATAGGGTCCAAGCAACTCATTAGTGAGTAACAGTGACACACAGAAACCACAAACATCAACTGTTACCACTAACTGCCTTATGACCTTACTTCTTTAAAAGCACAAACCTTCAGAATAGATTAACGTATGAATTTTAACGGATGAATTTTAACGACGATAAAAATGAAAAATCCCGCCATTGTCAGTGATCACTTAAAAGGCACTGCCCACCCAAATGTCGTATTATCGCTTAGGACAAAATTACACCAGATCTCAGTCACGTCGAGCTTTCTGAAACAGGTATTAAAACATTCGCGAAGAACATCCGCATTACTAACATCTGTCGAAATGCCCCTTTAGTTGAGAATTAGAGGATGGAAAATGTACGATTCCTTTGGGGGGAAATGAGTAAAAACAACCGCGAATTGAAAGTAACCAACAGCTACTGAGAACGTACCTGGGTGCGACCAAGAAACAGTGGTCTTTTGTAACAAGTTGCATATATGATTACTCACTAGTGAACTTCTGATGCCGTTGGACTGCTGCGAAACTGCTCAAATGACTATGAAAACGGAAAAAGGTCTTCATCCCAACAATAAATTATACTACATTTGATGCGTTTGAGTTGGGTTCAAGCTGAAAACGTTTTCTACCGGCTTCAAGTCAAGCTGCAGTATCAGTCACGGCATTCCCTAAAGTGACCACGATTTTACGTGGCGACTGGCTATTTACAGTCTACAGGATTCGAATTGCGCAACATCTGGCAGTTAGCTGGACCAATTGAACAGAACCGGTGTGCGAGTCTTATCTTCGTACAAGCAGTGATACATAGCTAAAGGCCAACAGTAGTTTAAAGGTGTGCAAGCCTACTGTCAGTAAGAAAAAATTGAAACCACTTAGCTGTAGCACCCTTTCGGTGCCCAAATGCCATGCAAGCAGAAAAAAGCACAAGAGTTATAGAAATGCTCTCCTAATCGATAACGATACAAAATCAGTGTACTAAGCTCTCGAAAACTACACTGGATATTCCTCTTCAATATCACCAACATCATCACAGTCATTATAAACATCATTTCCGTCCCCATCAGACACAGTGCTACATTGACATATACGCCCATTGAGTCAAACGCTCTGAAACGTACAGAATAGAACAGAAGACAGAAGTGCATGAATATACGAAACCCCTACGTCCCCAGGACTCAGACGCACAATTGGAATAGGCATAAACGGCAAAGAATTCGGCTTACCACCATACACCGTCTTCCACCGAGGAGATATGGGTCAGAAAAGGTTGGCCTTAAAAACCGCACGCTCTGATCTCCCAACTAAAGAGTCTAGTGCTGATCAAAAGGCACCAGCTGTACGCGGCCGCATTAGGAGTGGGACGGTAATGCTTTACCCCAGGCGTCCCCGGACCAGGCCAGCCCCCTGCAGCCAAGTGGTTCAGCAAAGGAAACCTTAACCGCTGTCTCGGGGTTCAGACTTTTGAGTCAAGGGCTCAAGATGGGCTATCTCTTCTTCGGCTTGGGCAACCGAGAAGTAGCGATCAACCCCAGCCATCGTTACCTGTTTAAACCATGGCCTAGTCAATTACTAACCTCAAGAGACCTGATCCATGTTGCAGCCTTCATTGTCCATACTCTACGTCAAATTGTACAACAAATCTCTCGTGTTGAAACTCCGCTTTACCTCCTATGAATTTTCGTCTCCGACACGTGTATACAGGACCACAATTCGGTCATGCACCTCAAGTCGTTTAGGACGAGCTCAGGTGATTCTGAAGCAATGGTTCGCGATATTTACGGTGTGGAAGTTGCACTCATCTCCAAGGCTCAAATCGCCTTACTGGATTGGAACCCAGTAAACCACCGTCTTGGAGCTGCGGGGTTGTCTGGCCCAAGTAAGATCAATGCAGGTCGATGCGCTTAACAGTGTTTATTCGTCATATCAGCACAATCCCTGACAACCAGCAGTTCTGAGACTGAGGACGGGTTTTGATCAAGATCTGACACAACGGTTTCAGTCGGAAGGACGGGTGCTATGAATGCCCAAGTTGGACGATTAAGTCACGAAGAAGCACAATTAGGTGGCAGATTTGGAGTCGATACTCAGCGTACGGATAATGGGAATAGACCGCTCCAATTGTGTGCTGACCATCATCGGTTCCTGACCAATATACACTTCCAACGCAGACACCCACATTGCTTTAGAGGATACCAACCGCAAGGCAGTCATGGACCCAATTGGAAAATGCATCTATCAGTTAGCGATGGAAGTCCTCAATCAAAAATTGTCGTTCTTTCTTGGGTATGCGACTTGACTGCTATCATGCCTTTGCACGAACCCTGTTTTCACTTCTCTTTCTCTCCGCATTACACGTGCCAAAGCAAAGCAGGTCCAATCATCAACCTCGACAAGTTTCAGTAGCTCAGGAGTATCGAGTTGGTCTGGTGGGAAAGCTACTGGAAACACACAGCCATGAAGGTGACAAAGATTGTTTGGAGGTTGCATGGAAGAGAGTTAAAAAGGCTATGCTCTCAGCCTTCATATCTATCTGTACAATCCATGTGACTCGATTAAATGAAGACCGTATATCATCGGGATCAGCAGCTACTACTGCTGCCATACCAGAAAATAGCGACTGTAATGGCGCAAACAGATCCTTTGAACACCGAATAATCAAGAGGCTGACGAATGACAGAGAACGCTCGTGGATTTTGAAGACCCTGGAGATGGAGAAAATTTTACTGTAAGCAACAGCCCCGTCCTATTTCAGCTGCTTTGATCAGCCGGCCAAAGAAGCCAAGTTTCATCTAACGAAATGCGGAAGAGACGGAACGATGGTTCATTCCCTCAGCCCTGAGCGATGGGGTGAGCACTTCAAAGAACAGTTCAGCTGGTCTCATTCAACACTGGAAGAACTCAGCAGGTCTGAATGGAACACCGATGCCAACCCGCCACCAGCAACAGAGGTCCAGCATGAGATATCAATCCCTAAGGGCGACAAGGCACCTCGCCGGGATGGTCTACATCCCGCACCCCTCAAAGGTGGCGAGCTACTGGTAAAAAGTCTGAAAACCGTACTGCAGAATATTTGAAAGGAAAACAGAGTACCAGTCGAATGTACCTGTTCGACCATCATCCCAGTCTCCAAAAAGGCCCAAGAACGTCATGCAAATACAATTGTGGCATCATTCTGGTATCCGTCGCATCCAAGGCGCATTCTGGCATCATTTTGCGCAGGTTAGTTTATTATCGAGAGAGACAGGTTCGTGAGAATCGGACTGGGTTTCGCCGTGGCCGAGGATGCATCGACTATAGCTTTACCTTGAAACAAATGCCTGAACAACGCAACTTCTTTAAATGTCCCACGTTGGTCATTCTTCTTAATGTGAAATCTGCCTTTGACTCTATCGATCGTCAGGAACTTTGGCGGAGTTTGGCGATCAAAGATATCCCTTACGAGGTCATTGTATGCGAACTCATGTAACGGGTATGAGTATACGGCAAGCTCCCGCCCGAGTTCACCATGTCCAGTGGTGTGAGACAAGGCTGTCATCTCTTGATTTTTCTCTTCAACTTTGTTATTGATGTGCTGCTTGAGATTTGCCTACTTGCCTCTGAAACCTCAGGAGTCGAGATGCATCCGGGAGATTTGCTCACACACACTGAGTATGCGGACAATATTGCTCTCCTTGGTTCATATCCATCAAAAAATGCTATTTTAAATAACCTATATAATTCCGCCGCACGGTTGGGCATGCGCTTCACACCTGAAAAGTGTATAGTGCTATAACAAGATTGGGTGGGATCAGATCCAAACCTCGTGCTAAGAGACGAACCAATCGAAATAGTAGATAAATTTGTTTACCTGGGCAGTTGTAGTTCTGGTGAACTGGTTGGAAATGAGATTACTTCTCGAATCGGGAAGGCCAGGGTAGCTTTCACCTACTTCCGACACATCTGATACCGATGTGACATCAGTTTGTCTGACAAGCGCAGAGATTACACTACGACAGGGCGATACATACTGCTTTATGGACCAGAAACGTGGCCACTACACACACAGGACATACGAAAGATGTCAAACCAAACTTATCGGTGTCTACAAAGCATTGTTCTGGCTTGGTGGAAACATCGGATTAGTAGTGCTAAGGTTCGCCCGATAGTCCCGGGAAGAAGGAACTTTCCCACGCTGGAGGAATTGGTCACGCTTCATTGGTTGTGCTGGTTCGGACATGTGCTCCAGATGTCACAAGACCGTATGTCTCACAGAGTCCTTCTCACCCAGCCATGTGCTGAGTGTAAGCAACCGAGGTGGACAGTAAACAACCTAGCAACGAAGTTTGAAAACCCTAACCAGTAAAATTAGTCGGGTCGACAACTGCTCTCACTGGATGGAGACCCCAAGACTCAACTCACTAATGGCTAATAACACTGGCAGAAATGGTCTAGTCGCGCAGTCAGTGGTGCATGTACAGTAAAGCTATTGCCTTCAGTGAGTAGCAACCCAGTTCCCGAACTAACTGGACATGCCACTGCCTCCAAGACTTGGCTCTCTCACAATCTCTCACTTGCCGGTGATGGAAGCTGTAGCAGTTGGAATTAACGTGCCTGTGTTACACGGTGCATGTGATAAATTGAAATGCAGTGAACAGGTGAGTTCTACCTGAAAATAATCACTTGCAACATGCAAATAGAAAAACATGCAGACATAGGACGTACCAAGAAAGCCAGTAAGGATTGTTACCGGAACCTTTTTTGTGGGGGGTTCGTCATCGAGTCCAACCAAATCGGGAATATCATCTGAAATCATTGCACCTTCCTTGCGGAGTTAGTACACAACCGATGAGGCAGTGTGGCGTTGGATACGGGCAGTGGGTTTGGGAATAGGCCTGGTATGCAAAATAAAGTAATCCAACTCTACATTGCGCAGTAGCAGCGTTTAAAATAGACGGTCTGATGGGTTGTAATGTTGGAAAGAGTATATGAAAACTGTCTTGAAAGGGGAAAAGATGTGCGAATGTGGTCCGAAATTAGGGGCGAATACCATAGTTGGTGGACTGAGTTGCAGTTCCAGCGCGAATTTTGCATGGAGACTATGAAGTCGTATTTGAGATGAAGGCGAATCACCCTTGTGCACTGATTCCCTCAAGTGAGCGTCCCCTCAAACAGGAACATGAAACTGGCCTGTCCAGATTTCTCCGGGTTGATAGAGAACATACGTCGAAGAGAAACACAGCTCACTAACAATGAGCCAAAATAAAACATGCAGAATCATACAAATCGAAGATGTTTATAAGAACCGTTGTACAAAGCCCTGGCTTCTGTTTCTATCCGACACAAGGCTAAATGAGGCTCTCTAGTGTTACAAAGCCAATGTTTCGTTCAGCTAATGGCCTACAGAAAATGACGTTGCATTTTTGCAGATCCATCGAAGACCGATTGGACTAAAATCGAGAGTTACGTGTCCCCAAGGTACAGGATCGTGTTTTTGATGTCCCGGGAAATCGGGTGCTTCTTAGCGTGACAGTGCTTCATGTACGGAACTCGACTGGCTGCATGAGAACTATCGTTCGTACGAAGGTGAACAATCAAAAGATTGAGTGCACTTGAAACAAATAAAAGAGAGTTGGTTCTATCGTGTTGACCGTTGCTTCCCACAGAAGCACACGTCACGCAAATCTCGGTGACATGACTGTCCTTGCCAAGTCTATACATAACATCACTCATGTACTCGGGTACCTCAATCCTCCAGCGCTGTATTTTTACCAATTTTAACTTTACTTTTCTGTACAACGCCATAGATGAAGGTGACCGGACGCTGATCGGTGACCTACTTGAAAAACCTTCCGAAAAGATAGCACCACCATTTCCTGACGAATTCGGCCACCGCGGTTGTAGCAAAACGAAGAATCCGTAGCAACCATAGGTTAGCTATAGACCATTACTACACACACAGGACATACGAAAGATGTCAAACTTTGTCCATCGGTGTCTACAAAGCATTGTTCTGGCTTGGTGGAAACATCGGATTAGTAGTGCTAAGGTTCGCCCGATAGTCCCGGGAAGAAGGAACTTTCCCACGCTGGAGGAATTGGTCACGCTTCATTGGTTGTGCTGGTTCGGACATGTGCTCCAGATGTCACAAGACCGTATGTCTCACAGAGTCCTTCTCACCCAGCCATGTGCTGAGTGTAAGCAACCGAGGTGGACAGTAAACAACCTAGCAACGAAGTTTGAAAACCCTAACCAGTAAAATTAGTCGGGTCGACAACTGCTCTCACTGGATGGAGACCCCAAGACTCAACTCACTAATGGCTAATAACACTGGCAGAAATGGTCTAGTCGCGCAGTCAGTGGTGCATGTACAGTAAAGCTATTGCCTTCAGTGAGTAGCAACCCAGTTCCCGAACTAACTGGACATGCCACTGCCTCCAAGACTTGGCTCTCTCACAATCTCTCACTTGCCGGTGATGGAAGCTGTAGCAGTTGGAATTAACGTGCCTGTGTTACACGGTGCATGTGATAAATTGAAATGCAGTGAACAGGTGAGTTCTACCTGAAAATAATCACTTGCAACATGCAAATAGAAAAACATGCAGACATAGGACGTACCAAGAAAGCCAGTAAGGATTGTTACCGGAACCTTTTTTGTGGGGGGTTCGTCATCGAGTCCAACCAAATCGGGAATATCATCTGAAATCATTGCACCTTCCTTGCGGAGTTAGTACACAACCGATGAGGCAGTGTGGCGTTGGATACGGGCAGTGGGTTTGGGAATAGGCCTGGTATGCAAAATAAAGTAATCCAACTCTACATTGCGCAGTAGCAGCGTTTAAAATAGACGGTCTGATGGGTTGTAATGTTGGAAAGAGTATATGAAAACTGTCTTGAAAGGGGAAAAGATGTGCGAATGTGGTCCGAAATTAGGGGCGAATACCATAGTTGGTGGACTGAGTTGCAGTTCCAGCGCGAATTTTGCATGGAGACTATGAAGTCGTATTTGAGATGAAGGCGAATCACCCTTGTGCACTGATTCCCTCAAGTGAGCGTCCCCTCAAACAGGAACATGAAACTGGCCTGTCCAGATTTCTCCGGGTTGATAGAGAACATACGTCGAAGAGAAACACAGCTCACTAACAATGAGCCAAAATAAAACATGCAGAATCATACAAATCGAAGATGTTTATAAGAACCGTTGTACAAAGCCCTGGCTTCTGTTTCTATCCGACACAAGGCTAAATGAGGCTCTCTAGTGTTACAAAGCCAATGTTTCGTTCAGCTAATGGCCTACAGAAAATGACGTTGCATTTTTGCAGATCCATCGAAGACCGATTGGACTAAAATCGAGAGTTACGTGTCCCCAAGGTACAGGATCGTGTTTTTGATGTCCCGGGAAATCGGGTGCTTCTTAGCGTGACAGTGCTTCATGTACGGAACTCGACTGGCTGCATGAGAACTATCGTTCGTACGAAGGTGAACAATCAAAAGATTGAGTGCACTTGAAACAAATAAAAGAGAGTTGGTTCTATCGTGTTGACCGTTGCTTCCCACAGAAGCACACGTCACGCAAATCTCGGTGACATGACTGTCCTTGCCAAGTCTATACATAACATCACTCATGTACTCGGGTACCTCAATCCTCCAGCGCTGTATTTTTACCAATTTTAACTTTACTTTTCTGTACAACGCCATAGATGAAGGTGACCGGACGCTGATCGGTGACCTACTTGAAAAACCTTCCGAAAAGATAGCACCACCATTTCCTGACGAATTCGGCCACCGCGGTTGTAGCAAAACGAAGAATCCGTAGCAACCATAGGTTAGCTATAGACCATTGTATTTGGCACAACACTTCCCTATTTGTTCTTCAGGTTCTCGCAGGCTAAATTGACATCAGCAGGTAGGGGGACGCATTATTCTCTATCGGTTTGTTAACTTCATCGGAGAACAAAGACACCCAATGGGAGTAATGTGCGGACATAAAAATGACGCACATTTCCGTGGTAGTACGCGGGGGAGGTAACTGACGCATATGTTCAGGGTCGGTCCATATGATACCTCTGGAAACCTTATGACCTAGGAGGCAGATAACTTCTGATAACTTCCTGGTATAAAGTTGAACGCAAACTTATCACAACAACCACGTTCACTTTATTAATCAGATCCCGGGGGTTGTGGAAAACGTCGGTGTGCTGAATTCGTTGCTGACCATGGACGCATTTTGTGATTCCCGGAATCGATATGCATTAACCGATTGTCCGAATGATAAGGCACATTCTGAAATGAGGCCGCCCCATAACGCGGAAGACACGTTCCTGGATTAGGCAACGGTTGCACACCAGTGGGGATCGATGTTGATCAGAATGACTTTTTCGCGGTTTACGCGAAGAAAGCCTTGAAGCTATGTTGTATATTGACGACTGTCTTTCTGACACGCAGTACTGTTTATCTGTTTTAGTCATTTTGAACACGAATAACAAAATTAATTCGAATGTTAGTCCTGAAGAGGCCGACATCTAGTGCGAGTGAGTGAGTGAGCCTTGGGAAATCATCCAGCTCTAGCACCCTTTCAGTGCCTAGCTGCCATGCCACACGAATGAGGCACGAGGGCTGGGATACTGTTAGGTTGCCCCAAGCCTAGAGAGGGGAAGTCGAGAAGCAGAGGTCGGGTTCGAACCACGAATCTTCCGGCCAGTGAATTCGCGCTCTAACCACTTGGTCCATCTCAGCCTTGGGAAGACAGATACGCAAACTGGATGAGTAATTAGACCCAAATACGGGAAAAATAACATTTCTGGATAACGATGCAGCCCACGCCGTGCTCCTGTCAATTGAAAATTCACGCAGAATTCAAAGGTTGAGGTCCGCAGTCAGGCAAAGGATAAAGCTGGGCACCGTAAAAAAAGCCGCTGTGTCCTGAATGTACGAAATGATCTATATTCAAATCTGATTTCAAAAATGTATCTTACTTTTTGCTGAAACAAAACTGTCAAGGAAGGCTTGAGACAACCGCGATCCAACATCAGGTTCGTTTGATAACCACCTTTTCTGTATGCCTAAACATCCGTAACCGAACATCATCATATAGGCGAAGGCTGTTGTGAAAATGGAGACAGGCAACAACTTGCTGAACTACGCCTGGTGATTTTCTGCGGGAGTTCACACCAACTGGTTACATCCCGTAATTTACGATGGTTAGGTCATATACTCCGTATGTTAAACAGCCGTTCGCCTGGTACAACCCTCTTCGCACAGCTTGTACTGGACGGAGATAATTCAGGGGTGGTTGTTACCAAAAAACTCAGTCACGTTGGCAAATGCCGCCTCCCGGATGGGGATCACGGAGCAAGACAAACCAGTGCTTAGTAATACTTACGGATATAGCTGTCACGCAACCAGTGGGGCTCTTTAACCAAGGTTGTCTTCACTGAGTGGCCCTCATCTCCTGTCATAGTGGAAAACGGATCCATTAGTGGCCAATCAAAGAAATTGGTCATCAACTCGGACGCGTGGCTCTCATCCCCTAATTTACTTCATCCTCGGCAAAAAGTTGTAGCAGAGAGAACCATCACACTTTGGTGAACGGTTTGCGAGATGAAAAACTGAATTGGAACTAAGTGGACGCTCGGCGGAGGACGATGTGAATGAAAGTAACAATAAGCTATTATCATAAGAGAGCGAGCATTATTTTCATCTTTCACCTGGACGCACTGCGTAACGGTTTCTTCGCCAAATACCAGATCCAGAACTTTCCAAGTAGCACACAATTAGTTTGCACCTGAGAACGTCATACCACGTCTAGAAAATTCGCTAGCTTAAACACTAACGGGATAAGCGCTGAGTGGCGAGGGGCGAGACGGCTCATTGGTTAAAGCGACAGTTTACTGACCGACAGGTCCGTTATTCAAACCCAACCTCTGCCTGTCGACTTCTCCTGTCTAGGCCTGAGCAGCCTGTCAGTACCCCAGCCCTCGTGTTTGTTTTTGCCGCACAGTTGTTAGGCACAGAAATGGTACCACAGCTGAACTATTTTTTTATGAAAGGATGCGTAGTACCGTGTTACGTGTAGATATGTTATTATGTAAAAGTTATGTTATCTGAGCAGCCGTCAGTCCCCCAGCCCTCGTGTTTGTTTTTGCCGCACAGTTGTTAGGCACAGAAATGGTACCACAGCTGAACTATTTTTTTATGAAAGGATGCGTAGTACCGTGTTACGTGTAGATATGTTATTATGTAAAAGTTATGTTATTACGTAAAAGTAAAAGTGGCTGGCAAGCGGAGAATTTTCCCACTGATTCTCTCAACCAAACATGTCCTCGCTTAATTGCACAACGCGGAACCATAAATATTTCTCGAAGTCTCAACCCCTTCAAGGACTTTACATCCCAAAGATAAGTACTTTTCCGGCCTCTCAGATATGCTTTATGAGACGAAATTACCGACGTAGATCGTATTTCTGTAGCTGACACGCAAAACGCTGGTGTCCCAACCCACAGAATTTCCCGGACCCAGAGATGAGCTCAACATTTAGCAGTAGAAAAATTGTCATACGTTGAGAATAAGCACCAGAGCATAATATGTAATGCACTGAGAGCGGTCTCCGCGGATGACCTTAGTGGTAAATGGGATTAGTAAACTGCAACTACATAGCGCTTTCCGGTAGGTAGACGGATGCCATTAACATCAATCTTAAAGGCGAGGCGCTCTGGTCCTCTGGGCTCATAGTAAAACTCGTCAGGCGATTGAGTGAAGGACAACTAACGGATGACCTCTCTACAGATAGAAAGGTGTGGTAAAACAAGGAATTAGAGAGATGGGAAAAATGGAACTGAGAATATACTGACCCACAGGCATACCGCGAACTAACCAAAAACAATATCAGAGACATCCCAAGCAATCAAGATGAGCGTCAATGCGGGCCATCGATGTTTTTGTAAGGTGGAATTCCACACGGACGCTGCTCAACGCTCGTAGTCAGGGGCTGCTGCGGCCGAGAAGCCTACTCCACGCAAGATTGGCCAGAAACCAAGCCGAGATCTGATTGGTTGAAAGTCTCAACCCAACAATCAATCATGGCCCATTGTTGGCCGAGTGCTAGTTGCTAATTACGCACCCAGAACGCGTCATAATTTCCAGAAAGTCGTTGCCACTTGCGCTATATATATATGAAGCTCCATACGGGTATTCCTGACTTCGTTTTAGGCGTTAATGTACCTTGTGCACCTTTAGTGGATATTTTTTGACGTGATCGCTGGCTTGGAAGGTTCAGAACGAGAAGCTAGCCGAGAACAATACCCTCACCACAATTGTTTATCAGTTTAGCTGACATCCTGCGACATGTCTCTCATTTGCCTGCTCATTTTTAGCCATGGCCTTTGTGTCTGAACCCTACTGGGTTTATGAAATAATTATAAAAGCACGCAGGATTCTAAACTGACAAAGCATATATTGATGGCATTTCCATCACTTTAAGTGGTCGAGCAGCGTCATACATACCACCGACCAATATTCGCACAGCCCTTTGCTTTAACGGAGCCTTCGACCCCGTGGGTAGGTTAATCCCTGTAAGCGTCCTTTCTCAGAGATATTCCCTTAAATTTGTGAGCATCCTTTCCTGCATTTCCATACTTCCGATCATGTTGTGGTCTACAATAAGCCGCCTAAAGTCCCTCTGAAAACCAATGGAGTTCGTCAGGACCGTCA